AAAGGTGACCCGGTGGGTCCCGTCCCCCGGGCAGGCTCCCGAGCTGCGGCCCCTTTTTAGGCAATGCCTGCGGTAAAGGCACCTCCGATAGCGTCTTGGCCACCGTGGCGTGGTGGAAGCTGTCGGGGCTTTGTCTCCTCCGGAGCGGGGTCTGCTGCGCTCGCTTTCTGGGTCAGCTCTGCCTAGAGGAAGGTGCTCTTGGGAGCTGCCGCGGACAAAGGCTGCCTTGTCTGGCTGCCTACAGAGTTTTTTCCAAGTGGGAAAGTGGGCAAGCTCAGTGCAGGGAAGGTCCTGAGATACCGGACCCGGAGTGGGATCATCTGCGGGACTTCAGTGATGAGGCAGGCAGGGGGGCAGGTGGGATTGGCTGAGCGGTCTCGGTGGGGCTGGGACATGTGGGGACCCTGGCAGCGAGACCCTCGCCTGGCTGCTGGTGCTCAGCCTGGTTTACCCAGCTCTAGCGGGGGGGGTGAGGCCGGGCGCTGTCGAGTTTTGAGATGACTTTGGGCTCTGCCTTGGCTGAGAAGCGCTGTGAACTTTGGAGGACTCGGTGGTGGGCTGAGAGCCGAGCACCCAGCTCGCGCTTCCCCCTCGGCTGCGGCAGGAGAAGCTGCTGCTGTGGGTTGTGGAGGATCTGCTCCGAGCTGTGACTTCTCTCTCCCCTCTGCCCCATCCCCTTCTCCCAGAGCCCAGGGTCTGCTCTGCCCCTCCGGAGGCTCCTCGAGTGGACCCCAGCCCTCCGCGCTGCCTCACGCTGCAGGAGAAGCTCCTCTCCCACTACAGCAGCTGGCTGGCCGTCCCCGAGGCGCAAGTGTCCCTCGTCCCGCAGCTGGCCAGGAACATCTGTGCCCAACTGCAGAACTTCCTGCGGAGCAAGTGCCCGGAGCTGCCCTTCGGCACCCTCTTCCTCAGCGGTCCCCTGCTCGACGGCCTCGGGGCGCTGGCAGCCGGCCACCCCCCCCCCATGCCGCCGGGGGGCCCCTGGAGCCTCATCCCGGGAGAGGACACCGTGGTGAGGAACCCCCGGTACTGGATGATCAAGAGGACTGATCTGGAGTATTTCCCTCGTGGGTGCAGCCCCTGGGACAGGTTCACCGTGGGCCAGTACCTCTCCTCCAACGCCCTGAATGAGACCCTCCACAAGATGCTGGTGGCCTCCATCAACTGGCCTGCCATAGGCAGCTTGCTGGGGAGCGTCATCCACCCGGTCGTGGCCTCCCAGGAGCTGAAGCTGGAAGTCAAACACGATCAGGTCGAGCTGAGCATCACCCTCTTCCCCATGGTGGCAATGGAGGACAAGGTTCTTCTGGCTGCTCCTCCTGAAGGTCTGGTGGAAAACCTCTGGCTTGAGAGCTTTTACAGGGCAGAGGTCTCGAAGGTGAAGGAGCTGGATGCCGGCGACCCCGGGGGTCG